CCCTGGAATCGATTCTCAGGGGTCAGCTAAAGGCTTTTATGTCATGAAACCTTCACCATTCAACTCCTAGTGGTCGATAACCTACAATGACATTTTCGGCAAAAGATTTCGTTCTAACTTAGCGAACTATTTTTCATGGAAAGTTTTTTCTTTGTATCAAAATTATGTGGACACCCTGAGGCAGATGAAGTTTCTTGCATAATTTCCTAACCTATTTTTACTTTTCCTTTCGTTACTTATTCTGGCATCATTCCTCTTCACGGCAAGCGTTTTTCTGAAGAAGACCAAGCACAGAAATGGGATCCTCATGCTTCTGAACCTTCCTATTGCGAAATCCACGTCACCCAGCGGCGCGTCCTCGTTTGTTGGGAAGGAAATCCAGAATCCTGATGCTGAGCTCCCAGCGCCTTTAATCGGTGCTTGTTCAAAACACTACAAGAATAGCCTGTACTGTCTCAAAATTTCTTTGGTCTGCTATCCGCGTTCGCGCTCAAATGACTTCCCCCTCTAAAAATACCACTCGGTGTTCCATCCAATCGAGTGAGCACACGACACGAGAAAAGATGAAGAAAGCTTCGTGTATGGATGCGCAGCACAGATTGGCAAGGCTGGAATTCCCGTTCAAAAATAAGATCACAACATGAACGTTGAACCCGAACAGACAGCGCTTTTGTGAAAATATAAATAAAGAAAACGCTCCGTGAAAATTACCCTTTAGACAACCTCGACTGGTGAGAAAAGCTTATCTTTGGCTATTCGGGTGGATCTCGTTGCTAATGGAGGGACCTTCGTCGTGACCCGCAGCTGTACTCAAAGAGACATTTCGGAGGAGGCTCATCAATTGTCTGGGGTGGTTTCAAAAGAAGCGGAAAATTGGAGATTGGCTTGCCAGCATGTCAGGTAGACAACTAGGATTATAATGAGGTGCTTGGATCCCGACTTATACCTTTTTCGAGAAGCCAGCGTCACAAAACACTTGTTTTGCAGCAAGCCCAAGGGGGGTCCCCTACACGTATTCCATTTGGGAAGGAGGCAAACGCGAGGGTTTCGGGTGCTGGATTGGCTGGCGTATTCCTCAGACCACATCGTTATTGAAAACGTTGGACGATAGCGGTTCACTGCTTCTGCGCCATTAAAGAAAAAGTATTAGGTCGGTCCACAATTTTTGAGAACCTTTGGTGTTTTTCGATTTATTACTTATCTTATTTCTCTGATCTACTTATCCAGCATAGTATACATCATTATTATTAACAACATATCGCCAATGCGAGGGTGGGTATTCAGTGCCTCTCTTGTGGACTTTCATAGAGTTCTGATCGAAGGAAAATTGTAGTCCCGAATCAGTTCTCAACCCAATCTGACATCATCAAGTTCCTGTTGGTTTCCCATAGTTCCTTCGGATGACCATCTATAATACTCATTGGTGATGTGGACTGGGTGCAGTGTGCTAACAAATCCACGAGCCGCAGTAGATTTGCTTAAACGATTCGGGAGTTCTGACAGTAAAAACCGAGGTAAGCAAACCAGCCCTTTTGGCGTTTCGGCTGGGACCGTATGCTGAATGTTGGGGAGGGGATGGGGTCCCCAACGGTCGACGGTTTACTTCAACTCGGTTGGTACGATAGGAGAGTACTGACGCAAGTGGTGCAGCTGGTCCAGCAGCTCCGCCAGAAGGGCTGGTTTGCTCACCCCAGGACTAAGCCTTGGAGAGGGGACGGACCCGTCCTCTCTTTAAGGCTTAGTTCTGAGGTAAGCACCAAATTGTGGCGGTTCTAAGGACCGAGTTGAAGTGGTCCGTCCACCGTCGGGGACTCCATCCCCTCCCCAACATTCAGCATACGGTCCCAGCCGAAGCGCCAAAAGGGCTGGTTTGCTTACGTCGTAAAAACCCAACTCCCTCTGAATTCGAACTTCCTGAGTCGTTGGCGCAATACGGGAGGGCCTTTGCGCTGAAGACCGGCATCAACTAATACCAGTGTCAGTGATGGGAAGAATCGTTGACAGCTTGATGGCAACGCCTTCAACTTGAAAGCAAAGGAAGACAAAATCTATTTTTTTCTGAGGTCGTTCGAGCCCGCCTTGCTAAGAAAATTCCTAAAAAATTGGAGACTCTCGGGCGGTCAGTTCTTTTAGCTCCGCCTTGTAGCACTAATCCTGCGTCAACGAACGACTATCCGCTCTCCTCTCTCAATCACCTTCTGGAGAAGAAATCTCACTTGAATCACCATAAAGTCAAAATCGACATCCAATATTTCTTCGATCAGAACTCTATGAAATTCTACAAGAGAGACACTGAATACCCACCCTCGCATTGGTGATATGTTGGTAATAATGGTGATGTATACTATGCTGAATAAGTACATCAGAGAAATAAGATAAGTAATTAATCGAAAAACACCAAAGGTTCTCAAAAATTATGGACCGACCTAATAGTACCCCAAGTGACCTAACAAGTTGAAATCAACAATAACAATGAAATTAGCTGCTGGGTGAAGAGTTCGACGAAACAGGTATCGGGAGCCTGGTTCAGAACATGCCGAACAAAATGTTTGAACTTATCAGAATCTTTGGTAGGCCTACCAGTCTTTGATTCTAAAGATATTTCTGTTTTGAAAAGTGTCCACATACTTTTGATACAGGGAAAGCAGGGGAAAGTTTTTCCATAATTGCAAAAAATTGAAAGCTGCATGTAAACGGTGAGAAATGAGAAATTCTAAGGTTTCGCATCGAGAAATCGAATGGTGGCGATCTCATGGTGCAGAAGTCAACAGTTTCTCGGAGAAGGAAAATTTTAGGGTGTCCACATACTTTTGGTACGCACTGTAAACCAAGGTGGAATGCAACTGAAATACAAGGAGTCCTCATTAGGAGTGTGATCGGGGTTTTTTTTCCTTCCTTTTACAGACCACTTTCCGCCTTACCTTAATTTTTGAACGCTTTTCCACACCTATTTCATCTCGAAGCTTGCTTTTAAGAATTCACAAAAATGCACACCTCTTCGTTTGAGGGGTCGTATTTTCTTCAAATGAGAAAGTGTGAGAAGTGGTAAGAAAATTCAGAATTTCTAGCTTGCTCTCTATAAAAAGTATGCTGTCTTAAGTGAAATTTTCTTTCTTCAAAAAAAAATCGTTCCTTTGCAATTCTTCACCTCCAGAAAATACCAAGAGGATTAAAACGTTTAAACGAATAATTGCACTGATTTCAAAACTGAAGGAGTCAAAAAATCGCCCGTTGGACCGTTTTGGGGGAAATCGCGGACCGATTTTCAGAAGAGCGCTGGTTTTTTTGGGTTTGAACTGTTATAACTTTCTTCAGCTTCAACTGTCTGCAATCCTTCACAATCTGGAAACTTATGCAGAATCTTTTTAATGAATAAATCCAAATAGAACATTTCGGAAAATCCTCCCATTTGAACTTTTTTCATGGGTTTTTGGAGCTACTCTTATGAACACGCGAGTTTCCAAAATTTAAATAGCTACAGCTCTCTTTAACTTAATCTTAAGGGGAATAGTGGTCGCCATGACAGCATACAAGTTTTGTTTATAGCAGATACTAAACCTTTTTTAGAACTCCGTAAAGGCAAACCTTTTCCATTTTTTTGTTGTATGCTTTTGGAAGACAATCTAGCCAATTGGTTACTATTGGTCACTTACTTCGACAGCAAACGCGACAGCAAACGTGCTTATTCTAGTCGTTAAAGCTGTGAGTCTGAGCCTAGGGCTTCATTCGCATCTGTTTTCCTCATCCCGCGACGTTGACTTTTACGAATCCGACCCCTTACCCCTCGGCCAAATACGACCTCCTCACCTTGGAGTTGGTCTAGTGAACGGTCGACCCTGGTTATAACCAACAAGTTCTGCTTTCCTCGACGTAATGAGTTGCATTTGTGATTTTTCGATGGGGGAAATCATATTTGTGGTTTTCATAGGAAATCACTGATACGGGGAATGGACGAAAATCTGTAGCATTTGCAGTTGTTGGGGCCGTACAGCAAGCCATTTTACGCCAATGTTAAAGAAATTTTCAAGTGGCCATGGAGTGTATTGGGGCGGGCTCAGTAATGCTATCCACATCACTCACAGTTGGAAGGCTTGTGTGGATGTTCCCACCACGAGGAGAGCCAGGGAAGTGTGGGTGTAATTTCAAAATCGGCAAAATGTGACAGTGTGACAGTGTGTGAAAAATTTTGTACAGTTGGAACGTTAAGGTATATCTACAGCTCTGATCACGAATATGACATTTACTTTTTCCAGCTCCAGTTTACGCCACTTCGGCACCATTTGGCGCCCTTCTGGCGTTACAACTTTTTGCCATATTCCAGTTAAAATCTGAGTTTGATAATTACTGGTGGCCCTGATAATGAATATGATATCTAGTTTTTGCGCTGGTGCTATTTTGAGAAAATTTGGAAGCTCCAACTAAAATGCAAAAATTTTGTCATCACGGGGGATTGATCCTTGGACCATTTCCTCACCATTTTTGGCCTTCTCGGGGCCGTTCAGCGAAAATGGACCTTGGTTCTGTAGTCCACGCATGAGTTCCTATAACATGCAGAAAACCGTTTGAAAAGCGCGGCTTGCCCTGAACGACCTTTTGTAGGGGCCTGTGCTACAGACAGAAGGAAGACGTTCACCCGACCTCTACCTGGGTCGCGCCTTCAAAATTGATGGTGCTATTTAGAGCACCCCTTCGAAATGCGACTACAAGCAACATGAACCGGCTACTCTTCTACCTTCACCTTGGCTGTGAGCTTCACCTTTTTCTCTTCTCAGTTATATAAGAGATCAGACAGGAACCACCATAAAGTTCGTTTTTTTCTCATTCTTTTGGCATGAATACAGATGTTTTATAACCACACAACGGCTTCTGACACAACCGAGGGAAAATGCACCGACACAGAGCGTTTCTACCAATTTTCAAGCTTGTGGTGATGTTGCATGTAATTTTCCATGAATAAGAAAGATTTTATGGACATATTTGTTTCTAATGACAGCTGATCACTAACGACGAGTACCATCTTCGAAGAAGACACCTCCATCAATAGAACAATACTTGGGGCAGATACCACGTTCTCCAGGTGTTCCAGGAGTTCCTCTGTCTCCAGGTGTGCCCGGGTTTCCAGGAGGACCGGGTTGACCGTTGCCTCCAGGTGGTCCCTTTGGTCCAGGTTGTCCTGCAAATTTCACATTTTGTTCAATCAGAAATGCAAAATAAACAATCTTTCAAAAAGTACCTGGAGCTCCAGCGTTTCCGGGTTGTCCATTGGGTCCAGGTGGTCCAGCAGGTCCGGGAGGTCCGGCAGGTCCTGGTGCTCCAGGAGTAGGAGGAACGGAGATGGCGGGTTGTCCAGGCTGTCCTGGGGCTCCTGGGCTTCCGGGGTTTCCGCTGGGTCCTGGTGGTCCCTTGGACCAGGTGTTCCTGGGCCTCCTGGAGCTCCAGGGTCCTCCTGGGTTTCCGTCACGTCCGGCATCTCCGGGCTGACCGGCGCCTCCTGGTGGTCCGGGTGGTCCTGGTGGGCAGGGATTGCATGGAGGTGCTGGGGGCGAGTTACACGGCTGAACTGGTGGTCTGCCAGGGTTTCCTGGGGCTCCAGGAGCGCCAGGGTTTCCTGGTCGTCCTGCGTTTCCAGGAGTTCCTGCTGGTCCCGCACCTCCACCAGAGCAGCAAGCGGTGCAGTCGTTTCCTCCGCCGCCTCCACCAACGTTTCCAGTGTTGCCACCGCCCAGCACGGCGTCATCGCTACCATATCCAGCCTGACGGGCGGTACGATTGCCACTGGTCTTCATGGTGCTTACTTCAGACCAGATATCACGGGCTGATGTCTAAACAACATCAATTAATCCAATGAAAACGAAAAAAGTTTTTATGTCGAAGAAGCTTGCTGGAAACTTACACGACAGTAGTTGAGTTCAGAATGCATCGTGCGGCGGACATGGTGCACATAATTGTACACCATTGGCAGAGTGGTGGCGGCGCCAATTATGGCCACCACCGAGAAGGCGACGGCCGAATAGGCTACAAAGCGGTAGGCTTTGCACCTGTGCTGATACTCAACCTCCATGTCAGCTGTCGGTGATGATTGATGGATTGTCATACCATTTATAGTCGCATCTATTAACGCATAACCTCGCATCAATACCGATTCAGTTTTTCGTAGTCTGGGTATTCGTGTGACGGACGAACGCACGACGCGCCGGCTAATCACTTGAAGATTTCAGTTCCGCTAAAGATGATTGAGCTGAAGGAACGCTTACGTACGGGTTTTTGTTGCAAGGGAGACCAAAGATGTTTCAACAACACTAACCGACGTGCCTTTCAAGTGCACGAAGTTTGTCAGTTCCTACAAATTCTTCTACCTTATGGAAGCCTGCAGCACAGATGTATCTGAGCTGATTGACTTTTCAACTTCCTACCTAGTAAATCCTCAGGTGCTTGCATTATTTTTTGAAGCGTCTCTACTGATTCTTGCTTGCGTTCCCACTTTCTCTCCAAATATGTTTTCTTATATCGCCCAAAACCATTAATGGCCGAATTTCCAAAAGCTGTCTCAGTTAAGGATGTATTGGAGCTCCGTTTTCTCTGTCAGCCTCTGATACCATAGGCTGTTCTCGCCTTTTTATTTTCTCGGAAAGCCAATGAAACCACCTTCTTTTCGAGCTAGGTATTTTTATAGTGTCGTTTCATGAGCTACGTGAAGCAATAGAATGGCTAATAGATTCTTCGGCAAATCCTGCTTCAGTGCTCGGAACAATACTTTTGTCTATTCACGTAGGCGCCACTGTATAGTATTGAAAGAAGCGGAAATAAACCGGCGCTACTACGATGCTCATCTGATACCACATCTTTGCGAATTCGCTTTTTTTCGGCTGCAGTATAGAGGGCACAGAGAATGATCCATATTGGTCTACAAAACTTAATGGATGAGATAGATTAATTATCATTACTAAGCACTTAGCAAATCAGTGTACCCTGAATCATCTCTGTCATTTGCTTTGTGTGCTGTACTATAGTAGCCCCTCCTATGTGTGGTCAAGTTCTATTGAAGGAATGAAGAACCTGGAGGACTGCGATATGTGATCGATGATTCAGGTGTTCTAGAATGCTGAGGAGATCATACAGCATTTTCCTTGCATCATTCTCGAATGTTTGGCAAGATATTTAGCGCTCCCACACCGTTAGTGAACGGTTTCCACTTTGAGAACAGACTCCTTCACTGATTGGGATTATATTATGACCATATGCAAAACATTAAGCTTTTTCAGCTTCGCTTGATCGACGCTTTACTGGCGATTCCCAGCATCAAGTTCTTGGAGGCCATCGGAAGTCGGAAATCCATCTGGTTTTCCCAGCGGCGCAACGAACTGTTGCGGAGTGATCATTTCGTCTACGCCGTCTCATTATATGCAAAAAATAAAGAAAGTCGTGTTGTTTTTGTCGCTCTTATTTCTTTCTCAAATATAAGAGTAGGTTTAGGAACTCATGAAGATGGAGGAAGCTGCAGCTGGCGTTGAAAGATTTGATAAACTCCGTAGAGCATTCCCTGCTTGAGATATATTATAGGATTCAATTTCGAATGGAAAGTGACATTTGGATACTATGTGACCTACGCAGATTTTTGTAGAGGCTAAGCAGAGCACGAATTTATTGTTTTTATCTGGCACCACCTGAAGACTCCGGAGGGACGTGAGCTTTCTCGAGATGAGCCCGTGTTGGCCGCCACACCTCAAGTGCGGTAAGCGTCACCACTCGCCATGACATCGACTAGTGACATTTGCTGTCAGAGTTCCCGAATCGTTTAAGCTGAAACTGCTATGGTTTGGGTTTGTTAGCACACTGCACCCGTCCATGGTCATAACAAAGGAGCTATGGGAATCCACCAGGACCACGATGATGTTAAATCGTGTTTAGATCTGATGCGACCCAGAGCACCTGAAATGCAAATTTCGTACTTTCATTTCTTTACAACGCTATGAAACTCTCTCAGTACTGTAACTTTGTCGCACCAGAAGCACTCTGTCAAACAAGGACCAGTTTGTTACGATTCCTCTCCAATAGCACCGGACAAGAGCATCGAGATTGCCAGACACGCGGTGGTAAGAGTGTGGATCGTTCAAATCAAGGGAGGGAACCAGGGTCAATCCTACGTTGTTACTAGTAACAACGGGGGGGGGTCGTACCTGGTTGAGTTTATAGGAGGGGGGTCGTATCCGCTTCAGTCGCGTGAAAGGCGTAGTTTGGTGGGTTGAGTGGTACCAGAATTAAATACTATAGAGAGGAATATGGTGGTCGAGGGTCGAGAAAAAAGGGGGTCGTATCAAATCCACCTTGGGGGAGGGGGGTCGTAAAAATTTTTCGAAAAGTAACAACGATAGGACCGACCCTGGTCCCGGTATCGTAAAATTCAATTAGTTATAAACTCGCAT